ATTAAATAACGTTTTCCAATAATAGTAGACAAAATTAGAAGGACAAATTAAATTAAATTAAATTAAATTTGCTTTGATTCTTGTAATTAAATTATACAAATGACAATTAATAGATACGAAGGAAAAATGAAATAAAATAAATTAATTTTCAAACGAATTAAATTAATTATATTATACCTTATGTCAGATTAGAAAAATTAAGCCAACTTAACTCAAACTATATTTAATTGTGTCGATTATGTTGTTTGTGTACATACCTATGTAGGTGCTACAAATAAGTACTTTGCGATTACGGAAAATTATAATACAATAGTTTAACGATAAAAAAATACTTTCGTTGAATTAATTCAGTAAAATACAATAATTGCATAAACTGCATAAACCTGTTTCTAGATTTCCTAAAAGTAAGTATAATACTGAGACAAAGTTACTGTCAATAAAGTGAATTTAATGAGCTTGAAGTAAATTAAATTTAAATGTTTTCAGTTATTTTACATAACATGAAATTAAACCGTAAATTTAGCGACAATAGAGAACATCAACCTTGAATCAAGGTTAAGCAAACCTAATTACAACTTAATTTAGTCAGAATCTAATGAAATTAAAGGAAAAACTAACGCAGTTTTAAATTAACTAAAATTGAAATGAGTTTGGTTTGAGTGTAAATTGTTGATTTTAAACCAACAAACGTCATTTCGGTCCCCTAGCAAATAAATGTTGTTTGCTTATTCATTTACTACCAACTACCGGCAACACCGCGTATTTAAACCCGGATTAAATCTAATAAAGTGTATCGGAACATCCTGTAAAGCACGCAGCATGTTTCCGGTCGCACAACTAAATTTAAATATCCGATTGCTTTGTCAATTTTTTTGCATATTTTCCTTAATAATTAATTAATTTTTTCCAGATTCTCTTCTGTACGTTAAATACGTACAAAGCTGACATGAAAAAACTACTAGGGGGTCAAATCGGTTTAGAAGACTTTATTTTCGCACACAGAAAAGGTGAGAGAGCCGCTAGATACGGTAAATTAACGATAATCAAAATTGCGGGATTACGGGACTTTGTAAACAGATGTGCAACTAAGCCCAGTTTAACAAATTTTAATTAAAACAATGCGAGATATTAATTCGGTGAAACCGAGCGAAATTTACTTTTACCTCAAAAATTCAATTTCATTTTTATTTATTCAGCACAATGGTTGGTGCTTAATTACAAAAACTTTTACTCTTTATGGTCATAGAAAAAATATGTACAGGGTGTACTAAGTTTTAGGGCCGGCGCAAAAATAAATATTTCTAATTGTATTAAAAAAAATTTGCTAGTGCAAACGATTAAGGATTATATAGACTTCAATTTGATGCTTTAATATTGTTCAAAATTTTTAGCATGTGTCAATGCGACCCTAAAAAGCAAATTTTGAAATTTATTTTTTAAATTAATTGTGATTGTGAAAATTGAATAATGTAAAAGTTGGTAGATTTTGAGTAAGTAATTAAAATTTTAATATTGAAAATTGGGAATTTTGGTAATTTATGGCCAAGTTTGTTATTATTCTATTTTCACAAATACCACAGAAAAAAATCAAAGAATTTTATCATGTAGAAAATATTCCAGTTAATTGAATTTTTTTCTCTCCAAATTTAATTTTTAAGGTTTCACTGTCATACGCTAAAAATTTTGTACAATATCAAAATATCGTTTACACTATATATATTTTTTTTTATTAATAAGAAATATTTATTTTTGCACCGGCCCTAAAACTTGAGACACCCTGTATACAACCCGTGCCTGTATTGGATTTATCAAATGTAAAAGTTTTCAAATAACTAAAATCTAATTCTGTTTCGTCTTTTCTACGGCTTCATTCGTTGACCTCTTCCAGGCCGACCTAAAGAGGTCGAACTCGTCAAAACCGAAGACGCTCTAGGACTCACAATCACCGACAACGGCGCCGGTTACGCGTTCATAAAACGGATCAAAGAAGGCTCGGTCATACACAGCATCCCCCACATCCAAGTTGGCGACCACATAGAGAAGCTCAACGGGGAGGTAATGGTCGGCAAACGGCATTTCGAGGTCGCCAAAATACTTAAAGAAATACCCAAGGGGGAGACCTTCACGATCCGATTGGTCGAACCCTTGAAGAGCGGCTTCAACAGCATAGCCCCCAAGAGCGCCAAGGGGGGCGCCAAGAAGTCCAACTTCGGCTCGGGGCGCGAAACGCTGAGGTTCAAGGCGGGGGGGAACGCGGAAATCGAGGAGAAGGTAAGCACCGCCCTGGTTGCTAGGCAACAAACCTACGTTGCTAGGGAAACAACCTACGTTGCTAGGGAACAACCTACGTTGCTAAGTGATTTTAGGACGACGTGATGGAGGTGGGGATCGAGAAGATCAACGCGATTTTGGAGAGCTTCCTGGGGATCAACGACGAGGACCTCGCGACCCAGATCTGGGAGGTGGCCCAGGGGAAGAGCAACTCGATGGATTTCGCCGACGCCGTGGACAATTCGGACTTGGAAGAGTTGGGATTCACCGACGATTTGGTGATTGAGCTGTGGGGCGCGATCACGGACGCCCGTGACGGGAGGATTTGAGTATTTTGAGTGCCACTTATTTTTAAGTTTTTTTTTCGGACTTGGGGTCCACTAGACAATGAAAATCTATCTTGTAATTTTTAAAATAAAGACAATTTGAGTATAGAAGCGGTGTTTTATTTCGGTGAATAATAACAAAGATAATGAAAGAAAACAAGATAACCTTGTGAATAGAATTAAAATGGAACCGTTTGAGAAGAAAGTCAATTTTAA